TGTTTTATTTTATTCTTGTATGTATAACGTTGTTCTGAAATTGCTCTGATAACAATAAAGTTAATTTTACATTATAAAGATGTTTTACCGCCAAAATGGCAGCCATCTTGGAATTTTTGTGATGACGTCATCATTCCGATTAAATTTTTTAACGAGAGTGAAGAGTAACTATTTAGCCAAGTTTTAGTTACATTTGATAACATAGCATATGTATAAAGTGACTAAAAACATACATTTATTTCCCCTAGGCCTACCCCCATCTTAATTAGTCCAAAATAGGATATTTCATGTCAAAATTTCAAAGTGCTATAAAAAAAGTTGCCCAAGCTCTAAGAAAGGGGATTTTTTTTTCTGAGACACTATGTGATATACTGATTCAGAAAAACCAAAAATTATTATTATAATAATAATAATAATAATTATTATTATTATTATTATTATTATTAATTTTCCTTTACTTCTTTTTTCCCGCTAATTTCCTACTGCACCCATGCTAACGGAGTTAGTGGGAAGTGGGAACTCAATGAAACGAAGGTGCGTAAAACTATACAATATTTTTGAATGCCGTTTTCAATATTTAGAGATGAGATATGTGAAATACAGGATCCGGAATTATAATGAATTACGTTCAGTAGTTTTTAAATTATTATAGTTCAAAAATTGACTTTACATTTTTATGGCATGCTGACCTCAGCGTGCGGGATTTCGTTCACTGATAAAGTGATTAGCGATTAAAGTGCCTAATGTAAAAAGTTCACGTCCCCATGGTTACGTTCGCTGTTAATCAGGCCTGTAGCAGCCTTCCACTGGATTGAAAGGCCAAACCATGCCCCATTTGTACAACGCACAACCAAAAAGCAAACATGGAATGGAAACCATAGCAGTAAATAATCTTATGGTAGCCTAATTTACCGAACAAGCCAATCGGCTTTTCTCGGCAGTAGCGCGTTTACGCTCCTGAATTGGAATAGGCGGTGTACAAATCAAACTAATTAGGTGACTGACCATGTGTCTGATTCTCATAATCATGGAGTATCGTGCCAACGTGGTGGAAACCTACTTGCGGAACGTTTTTTAATCAAGTGTTACTAGGCAACTTTACAGTACTGGGAAATTTAGTATTGTTGCCTATTTCGGGATGGATCGGGTGGATTAATTTTATTTTCTTAATCGTTTAATATTTCACTGACTCGGTCGGAACTACGTTAGTCTATTATCCGATAGAAGTTTGTTTTATGTTTTTTTTCAAACCACAACACTTCCATACACAACACAATTCTGTCTGCTGTAGAACCTTATCCAAACTGCAGTAGTATAAAATTGAGGTTTTTGGAGTGCAGATAAAGTTTTATATCCATACCAGCTAGGAAAGTCCCTGGAGTCCGATCCATAACATTTAAGACAGAGTG